AGCCAGAGCACGATTCGGAACGAGCGGAAGCGCGGAAATGAGGCCAGCTTTGGAGTGGGAGCACGATTCGGAGGACGCGTAGCCTGACATAGCATGGCGTGGCGATGCCCCAAAGTGGAGGGGGGCTTCTGCGACCCCAGAAATTAACGAATCGACGCCGAATGTGGAATCACTTCCGATGTTTCTTCGTTTTTTTTGGCTTTGATTTTGGGGCCTATTTGGAAGGACCGAAAACCATGCTGTGGCATGGCGCTGGAAGTGATGACGTCAGCGCTGCAGCGGGAGCACGATTCGGAACGAGCGGAAGCTCGGAAATGAGGCCAGCTTTGCAGCGGGAGCACGACTCGGAACGAGCGGTAGCCCGAGAATGAGGCCATCGCTTCAGCGAGAGAGTCATTTCCAAAAAACCCTAGCGAAAACCCAACTCCCAGGAATCCCGTGTTAAAATCCAGCACGCGGAGGGGGGCCGGATATTTCCCAGACGTCACCAGCGGAGAGGGGAGAGTATTATTCATATTGTGTAATTGTGGAGCAGGAGGAGGAGGAGGAGGAGGAGGAGGAGGTGGAGGAGGAGGAGGAGGATGTGGAGGAGGATGAAGAGGAGGAGGACGAGGAGGAGGAGGAGGAGGAGGAGGAGGAGGAGGAGGAGGAGGAGGAGGAGGAGCAGGGGCAGAAGGGGAGGCGGAGGAAAAGGAGGAGGATGAGGAGGAGAAGGAAGATGAGGAGGAAGACGAGGATGATGATGATGATGATGATGATGATGATGATGATGATGATGATGATGATGATGATGATGATGATGATGATGATGAAGATGCTCATGCTGATGATGATGACGATGATGATGATGTTGATGATGATGATGATGATGACGATGAGGATGATGATGGATGATGGATGATAGATGATGGATTATGGGTGATGGATGGTGGATGATGATGATGCTGCTGATGATGATGATGCTGATGATGATGATGATGCTGATGATGATGATGGTGATGATGATGATGATGATGATGATGATGATGATGATGATGATGATGATGCTGATGCTGATGCTGATGCTGATGCTGATGCTGATGCTGATGCTGATGATGATGATGATGACGATGATGATGATGAATGATGATGATGATGATGATGATGATGATGATGATGATGATGATGATGATGATGCTGATGCTGCTGCTGCTGCTGCTGCTGATTGATGATGATGATGATGATGATGATGATGATGATGATGATGATGATGATGATGATGATGATGATGATGATGATGATGGTGATGGTCTTGAACTTTAACCGTATAATGTGTGAGGGTTGTGCGGTTGCGAGCTTGCGATATCTGCAACCACCACGGGTCAATCCTTTTCTGTGGAGGCCTCAGGAGGCCTGCGCGGGGGCCCGCGCATGCGCCCCACGGCCCGAGGCGTGACGCTCTGCGCTGCCTGGCAGGGGCGCATGTGGGGCGGCTCCCGCCCGCTGCTGGCTGCGCCGGCGGCTCCAGAAGCGCCGCGCTCGGCGCCCGCCCCCGCCCCGCCAGCGCGGGGCTGCCCGGCGGCCGCGTTGCCGCCCGTCGCGCAGGTCGAGGACCTCTGCGCGGCCATCGTCCAGTGCTCGCCAGCGCTGGCTCTCCCCGCTTGGGACCTGTGCCCTGATCCCTGCCCGGCTTGCCCCGAGCTGGAGTCAGGGCGGCCGTTTTGGGGCGGCGAGCTGGGCTTCGGGCTGCTCGCGCTGTTCGTGTGGGAGGTGCTCACCACTTGCGTGGCCGCTGCTTGCGGCCTGGCGCGCCGCTTCACAAAGGCCTTTGGGGCGTCCCGCGGGCACCTCCTTCGGGGGTTGGCGCGCCACCAGTTCTGGAGGACGCGGTCGATCGACGAGTACCTCGTGGACGTGGGAGGGTGCTGACGGCGGATGAACATCGGCGATAAGGTGCTGGTGGCTTACGCTGTGCCAGGCCCTGTGCTGCTTCACCGTCGTGTGGTGGTGCGTGTCAGCGCCGTGCAGCCGCTGCACGCGGCGGTGGTCTCGCCAGAACACGACGTGTTCGTCGAGCATTTCACGGCCGACAGCACGGACATCGCGGCGTGGCACCTCTGCGGCCCTGGTGGAGCGGTTCCCGCTGCCGCGGCGGGCCAGGCGATCTATGACTTCCAGCCGGCGCTCACGGCGCAGGAGTTCTTCGGCTTCACGCCAGAGGCCGACCGCCTCATCGCGGCCCACGACGCGCAGCTCGGGGCCGGAGGAGGCGTGCCCGCGGCGGGACCAGGGGCACCAGCAGGCGCAGGCGGCGGAGGAGGTCTCGGGGTGGCTGGCGGACCTGGCGGAGGCTTGGCGGCGCTCTTGGGCGGCGGCGGTGCGGCTCCTGCAGGCGGCGGGGGGGCATTGGCAGGAGGCGGCGCGGGCGCCGTGGTGCCCGCTGGCGCCGCCCCTGCCGCTGCGGGCTGCGCGGCGGCTGGCGCCGCCTTGGCGGCCGCGGGCCCCCCGGCGGCGGCGGCCG